TTTGGGAATTTTTAAAAAATTTTCTTAAATTTTTTTTTTTTTTTTTTTAAGTAGGCTATTAAGCATCTGCATTTAAAAACAATATTATTATTATTAAATATATTATCATTCTTAAGCATAAAATGATAAAAAAAAAAAATACATCTATTGAGAACATTAAAAGTTATTTTTTAAAATTTTGTAGGTATTAATTAATTCCTTCATTTTATTGACTGGTTTTTTTTTTTTTTTATATATATATATATAGGTAAATAGAGATATGATTGTTTTTTTAAAAAAGAAAAAAATACTCTTTCAAAAACAAGAAAACATATATAGTGAATTGTAATAATTACACGTATATTTTAAAAAAAATGTAAGATAACTTTTGGTTTTATTGGGACAACAAATTACTCAAACTATTGTTATTTGACTAAGAATCTCTTTTTTTTATTTATAAAAAATTGTCCATTTATCACAACATATTATAATTTACATTAATAGTGTAATTCTATATATGAAGTTTAGAGAGGGTGACATATATGTTGATCTTACTCGTATTTTAAAAGTAAAATAAATATTTTCGATAGATTTTAGTCAAGAAAAAATATTTTAAAGTAGTTAAAATAAAATGAGTGAAAAGCCGCGATTCTCACAAGTTAATTTTCATAAATTGGACAACCATACCATGGAGAAACAGTATTACATAATTATTCACAAAATGGAAAAAATTTCATTTGTATAATTGCATCAGTAGATGAATAGAAAAAGGTATTAGTGTGATATATAAAAGGCTTAGATATATCCTTCGTTAATTTAAACTATGGACAATTTTAAATCAAAATATTAATAATATGAATATTCTTAGATCAAATTATTAATGATAGATATATATCATCAGTAATACAGTTTCTTTATATATTTTGGAATTTGTGTGGGTTAGTGGAAATAACATTATTAAATTCCATAACATGAAAATCAACTTTATACTTGCATAGGCAACAAAATTCCACCTTCTATAATTTCTTTGCAATTGAAATTTGGGATGAATTTTTTTTTTTTTGAAATAATTTCTTTGCAATTGAAAATTGGGATGAAATTTAATTTTTTTTGAGTTATGGCGAAATTATTATTATATATTTAAATTATGCAAGGGCTATATATTATTTTCTGAATTTAATTTTATTGTATTATTTACACTCTAAATTATGTCAGAGTCGTATCTTTTTTCTGGACTTAATTTATCTATATTATTTAAATCCCTACAATATTTTGATCCAAATTTCATTGTTGTCTAAATGCAATTATTGATCCAATTTTTACTGTTGTTGTAATGCAATTTTTGATGGCGGTTTTTTTTTTAATTTAGTTTTGAAAGTTATATTGGTAAGTTTTTTCTCAATTTTGATCCAATGACATGAACAAGAAAAATAACTTGTAAGTTTATACACTAAATATAAAGACACACATGCAAAATACTAACTTCACTACTATGTCATCTTCATAAATGAAGAAAACGTACATGTGCAAAATATCAAGAATAAATTTATAGATATCAAAATTAGTGATGCACATTAGTAGATACAAAATTTAATGCAACTTGTACTTATTTGTACAATAACATCATATATAATAGGTTAAAAAACAACTAAAGTTTATAGGGTAATAGGACCTCACATACTGAAAGGGGAAAATAATACAGAAAAAATAAATAAATTTTAGGACGCAATAAGGACACCTCATAGTTTAAGCATGTAATTAATAATTTTACTATAGTTTATGAGGATTTATTATACCTTATCCCTTGAAAATTATGTATATTAATTCATAACTTGGGACGGAAGTCGGTAAATTATGAATTTATAGTAAGTTCAGAACTCATAAATTTAAAAATTCTTACTCCACCTTTCGCAACTTATGAAGGTCAAAATAGGAAATACTATCTCCGTCCACTTTTAATTGTCATAGTTTCCTTTTTTAGAGTCAAACGATAATAACTTTGACTAACATTTTATGATGTATTTTTTCATCATATTGATATGTAAAAAAAGTGAAATTTATAGTACTTTTCATATAATTTTTGAATATCTAATTTTTTTTGTTTATAATATCGAATAAGTGTTATTTAATTTAACTTCAAAAATTAGTCAAATTGACTTTTGAAAAATACAACATGACAATTAAAAGTGGACAGATGAAGTACTTGAAGTTGATGGATTTTGGTTCCTTCTTCCAAGATGGAATTTGATTATTTGTCGAGATTGTTATTCTCCTTTAGCACACGATGAATTAGTTGGGGTCTATAATATCATTAAAATGATAAACTAATAAGACACAAATTTCAATGATAATTATTGAGCTTGTCTCCCTTTTAATTTCCTTGACTAATACTCCTCCTAAATTAATCATCACTAATTAATCCCCCCTTTTCATGATTTGTTCCTAGATATATATACATGTCTCTTTCTAGTTAGTTCTATATATAGAATCTCCTTATATAAATTAATAAGGTGAAATGTAAGTTCATACCTTCTAGTGACATTCTCATCTTTATAATAAACTATAATTACATAAGTTATCTAATTGACTATGACATGTTATATTTCAAGTGAAAAGAACGATTAATGAAAATGGTATATACCAAAATTATAACCCAATTAAAGAAATTAGTAAATTAATCAAACATATCAAAGGATAATTTATTGTTTAGGTCCTGATTGACCATAGATTTTAAGAGTATTTTTTTTGTTTTGAAATATTTGATTAAAATAGTAAAATTATGAATCTAAACTCATAAAATTTAAATTTTAAATCTTGTCTTTGATCGAAGGGAGTACATGCTTAATTGCTTTTGCTTTTTACAATGGACATAGAGAAAAACATAAGATTATTG